GGTCACAGAAGTCACAATATATCACCTGCCATGGTTGAAATGGTCACAAAAGTCTGCCTACTTTTAATAGGAGGAGATATAGAACCTACCTATTTAATAATGTCAAATTCACATTTAAAAACATGTAGTATAGGAGATATTAGATTAGTGGCTCTCTTTGGAAAATAGACTCTGTCACAGGTATCATATTACCTGTTATGAGTCTTTGGTCTAAGAAGAATGTTGTGCTTTTTCCTTACAGGTAGGTAGAAGAATGTTCCCCCTTAAACCTGACTGAGGGTGAAAGTTTTGTTGTTGTTACATGCCACTGAGTCACCTCTGACTCCTGGTGACCCTATGAATGAGTGATGTCCACAATATACTGTCCTCAACAGCCCCCCTCAGCTCCTGTAGACTCATGTTTATGGCTTCATTTATGGAGTCAATCCATCTTATATTTGTTATTCATCTTTTCCTCCTGCCTTCTGTTTGACCCAAAATGATCTTTTCCAGGGAACCTGGCCATCTTTTGCTGTGCCTGAAGTAGGATAGTATCAGTTTTGTCATTTTTGTCTTCTACAATGTTTCAGACTTAATTTGCTAAAGGACCCATTTGTTCATCTTTCTGGCAGTCCAGAAAGTCCATAGAGCTCTGCTTTAACACCATAATTGAAACAAATCAATTTTTTTTCCTATTGGCCTTCTTCACTGTCCAACTTTCACATCTGTATATAGTAATTGGGAATACAAGGGTGTGGGTGACCTTAGTCTTGGTCTCTAATGACACATCTTTGCTCTTGATGAACCCCCCTAATTTTTCCTTTGCTGCCTTTCTAAGCCTCAGCCTTTTCTTGATTTCTTGACCAGTCTCCATTTGAATTGATGACTGAACCAAGCTAAGCAAAATCTCTAGTAATTTTAATGTCTTCATTGTCTGTGTTAATATTTTGTATTTCTTCTGTAGTCATTATTTTTTGTCTTCTTGATATTCAAATGCAGTCAGGCTAAAGGTCATTATTTGCAAAAATTGCAATTCTGCTTAGACAGCACATTTTAATTTGCCCTTTGCTTGCTTGAGCAGAGAAAGAAAATTGGAGAGAATGAGGCAATGGTGAGTAGCCTGTATACTCACTGGAGTGGTAAGGATGTGTTTCCCAGGGCCAAATGAATACTTGCTGGTCCTTGCCCCAGAGAGCTGCCTACCAGGAAGAGGACCAAGCAGCAAAACTCTGGGCTGTAAGCCCTAGGAAAGGAGGCTGTCCCACATGAGGGGTTTGAGCAGTGTAGCCCTGCAGAATTTACCTGATAGCTTGAGTTTGGATGCCTGCAACCTATAAGGTATCAGTGGCTTATCAGAGAAACAAAGACAGTCAAAAAGAGAATCCCAACATGTATCAGAATCAGGGTTTAACTTGAGACACAGAACCAGTAGATTAATTAATTACAAGGAATTGACTTAAGCAATTGAGAGGGCTGGATAAACAAGTCTGACCTCTGTAGGGCAGGCAGCTAGAAAGAGAAGATTGGGAGCATGTTAAAACCATGGGAGGACAGGCTGAACTTTGCGTTCCACAGGCAATAAGGAAAGGGAGATCATGAGCCAGCTGGAACGTCAAAGGCTTAAACTGTTTGCAGTCTCCAAGCTCAAGGAAAGCCTAAGCCCTCTTTTAAAGTGTTCATCAGTTAAGTCAGGTTCACTCAGGATAGTCTTCTTTTGATTAACTTAAAGTCACCTGATTAGGGATTTTTATCATATTTGTAAAATAACTTGACAGCAGGAGCTAGATTAGTGTTTGATTAAATAACGGGGGGTATAGTTCAGCCTAGTCAGGCTTATACATCAAAAACCTATCACACAACAGCAGCCAATATATGAGACATGTGTCCCTTTCTTTTTCCTTCCTCTCTGTGCCAATACATCAAGGGAGCTAGAACCTAGAAAAGAGATATGGAGAAAGTGTCCCAGAGGCAGACCATATTGCCCTCCTGAGACTGTAAAGGGAGGGAATGGGAGGAGTAAAATAACAGACCACATCCTCTCCCTATTCATGGCCTTGGAGCTATAAAATCTGGCATGCAGTAGGGAAGGGGGAAGATTTGAATGGATATGTCACAATTTTAACAATGGACAGCAAGTAGGAAGTTATGTGACCTGAGATGTCATTAAGATTCTTACTGACTAGCAAGGAAAGGAGATTTAATGTGGTAAGTTTGGGTACAATTACTGGAGACAAAACTCCACTGAGTTGAGACAACTGCATAAAAATGATTAGATAACAAAAACTGCAAGAACTATTGCAGATGTTAAAGAAGGAAAATATGTGGCTAGAGTGGTCAAGGAAGACTTATTTCTAAAAAGCAGAATTTGGATTGGGACTTCTTAAAAAATAAACGTTAGTTAGAGTGTTGGAACAGTATTGAGAAAAAAGGCTTGAGAAATGACATGTACATGTTGGGAGTGAGGACAGGGAGAATGTTGGACTGATCAAAGTACATGTGTTGAGTCAGGTATTGATAGGGGTTTTTCTAGGCAGGGTCTTGAGAGCTGGGCAGTGGAATTGAAATTTGATGAGGCAGTTACTAGGAAATCACTGTAGGTTCTTGAATGGGCAAGCTTGAGGGAAGTTTTTGTTTTGAGTCTTTTGAAGGCAGATTAATGTAACAGTGGTATAATATAGATGGATTTTAGGAGAGAAGGACTGAGATTCAAAGGGGCTAGTTAGGATGCTATTGCAATATTCTAGATAGGAATTGACAATAACCTGACCCAGAGTCACAAAGGTAAAATGGAACTGGAGAAAGGGAAATATAGCAAAGACAAAAACATAAAGACTGATGACCAAGTGGAACTGTGGTAGCATAAAGGATTAATTCAGTTCCTTGGTTTCTAGCTTGGGGAACTGGAAAAATGGTGGTTGCAAATATGAATGAGGAAGTTAGGGAAAATCTATTTGGGAGACCATGGCTATTAATTCAGTTTGTGATTATTGAAGCTGAAGTAATGATTTGAAGTGGCAATGTTCAAATAAAAGTTAGAAAAAAAGAACATCAGATTAGCTTGATAGAAATGCGCATGAAGGATGGCAAATGGAAGGTCCAGGCTGAGAAACTGAAAGACTTGGAGGCACAGGTGGTGTTTTTTACAATAACTCCTTCCAACTGAAGGTGGCATCCTTTACAAGACAAAGGAGTAAATAGAGTTGGAACGGTTGGCTACCCAGATGGTATCAAAGAACAAGATATATTTTGATAACTGGACCATAGCTCAACACCCTGGAATTGATGGGGTTTTGGCAAGGACTAGGAAGTATGTCATGAGGATAACAAAATAGAAGGGTTTCTCTCTCTCTCTCTCTCTCTTTCTCTCTCTCTCTTCCCCCCTCTGGGAGAGGAGGCATCATTTTGGAAGAAAATTGTTCTTGGATGGATAGCTAGATAATGAAAGGGAATTGAGTGAACAAACACAGAAAGAATAACAGTTTCAAAGATTTAATTACAGGTGAAAGGAAGCTGAATTTATTGTTAACACTTGCTGAGAGCTGTGTGTCGGCATTGTGAAAAATTCTTTATATATGTATTATCTTACATAATCCTTACAAGAAGCTTAACTTTTTTTCCCCCACTAAACAATGTGTTATGGACATCTTTCCATGTCAGATAAAAATCTGCATTGCCAAGTTTAATGGACATATAGCATAGTATTACACTGCATGAAGGGCCAATGTATTATAGTAAGCTACAGCAAACTTTCCTATTAAACATTTTTTCCACACCTTTAAAATTTTTTAATTTAAAAAAATTTTTATTTTCCACACCTTTTTGTATGAGCTTTTTTTTTCCTTAAATAAAAGATGAACATTTTTAGTTTTTAAATTTTTGAACATTGTGATTCAAAAATAAAAATATAAAAAGGTATACAGCAGGAAGCCTTTCTTTCATGTTTCTTCCATTCTTGTTTCCTGTCCTATCCCTACAATTATTAGTTTCCTTCATATCTTTCCATAATTTCTTTATGCTATATAAGCAAATATATAAATATGTATTCTTATTTCTTTCCTTTTGTTTTCTTTTTACACAAAGTAAAAAGCACCTTGTGTTCATCTCTTTAGGGTAAAATATTAGAAGTGGTATTGCTGAATTAAAGGGCAGTTTCAGTAAAATCTTAGTTAAAAAACATATTGCTCAATTGGGCATCAGGAAGGTTTACACACCAAATACACGTCACTACATCCATTTTATTTATTTTTTACTTTCAGTGTATCCGCATACCTTAAAATGTATGGAGAGCTCAGAATAAATGTTATAAAATCACTATAATTTGTAACATAAGGCTAATTCTGGTATTATACAGAAGTGATTATATAAAAGACTTGGACTTATCCACTTAAAATTCATAATATAGACAAATGAATACAATGAGAATGAAAGGTTTTTTTATCCTCACCTGAGGACATTTCTTCATTGCTTTTAGAGAGAGAGGGAGGGACTGTGGAGGGGAGAGAAAGAGAAACATTGATGTGAGGGAGAAACATCAATAGGTTGCTTTCTTGTGTGCACTAACTAGGGATTGAACTCGCAACCTCAGCTTGTGCCCTGACTGGGTATCAGACCCTCAGCTTTTTAGTCTATGGGACGATGCTCCAACCAAGCCACACCAGAAGGGCTGGTGTGATCTAGGTTATGTTTATTTTATTGGATAGTTGGAGAGACAGGTAGGAATGAAAAAATGCAAAATTATCAGTTGTTTGTGATGTAAAGATATGAAATAGAGACAGATGAATCAAAGAATAACCAGAATGATAAATAGGGGCAGAGTTAAGATGAGAACGAAAAAGGGTAGATCATTTCATTGGGTCTCATATACCTGGTAAGGCATATTGCCAGATCATCTCTTCCTATAACTTTTTTAAAACTTCTGTAACAGCGTCTATTATTATTATTGAATTAGTATGTATTGATTATAATAGAAATTACACTAAATTTCAAATGAATATGTATATGTCTTTTTTTTCCTTAAATAGAATTATCTGAAGAAATGGATATTTCTCCCTCCAAAAAACATCCCATTAAAAAACGAGTGAAAATACATCCCAACACAGTGATGGTAAAATACACTTCTCATTATCCCCAACCTGGGGATGATGGATATGAAGAAATTAATGAAGATTATGGAAATTTTATGGAAGAAAATCCAAAGAAAGGCCTGCTGAGTGAAATGAAAAGAAAAGGAAGAACTTTTTTTGGAACCATGGATACCCGACTTCCACCAACAGAAGACCCAATGACAAATGAGATTGGACAATTCCAGAGCTTTGCAGAAAAAAACATTTTCCAATCCAGAAAAATGTGGATAGTGTTGTTTGGATCTGCTTTGGCTCATGGATGTGTAGCTCTTATCACTAGGCTTGTTTCTGACCGTTCTAAAGTTCCATCTCTAGAACTGATTTTTATCCGTTCTGTCTTGCAGGTCTTTTCCGTGTTAGTTGTGTGTTACTACCAGGAGGCCCCCTTTGGACCCAGTGGATATAGATCACGACTCTTCTTTTATGGTGTATGCAATGTCATCTCTATCACCTGTGCTTATACATCATTTTCTATAGTTCCTCCCAGCAATGGAACCACTATGTGGAGAGCCACAACCACAGTCTTCAGTGCCATTTTGGCTTTTTTACTTGTAGATGAGAAAATGGCTTATATTGACATGGCTACAGTTATTTGCAGCATCTTAGGTGTTTGTCTTGTCATGATCCCCAACATAGTTAATGAAGAAAATTCCTTGTTAAATGCTTGGAAAGAAGCCTTTGGATACACTATGACTGTGATGGCTGGGCTGACCACTGCTCTTTCCATGATAGTATACAGATCCATTAAGGAGAAGATCAGCATGTGGACTGCACTGTTTACCTTTGGTTGGACTGGGACAATCTGGGGAGTATGTACTATGTTTGTTCTTCAAGAACCCATTATCCCATTAGATGTAGAAACCTGGAGTTATCTCATTGCTATATGTGTCTGTTCTACTGCAGCATTCTTAGGAGTTTATTATGCCTTGGACAAATTCCATCCAGCTTTGGTCAGCACAGTACAACATCTGGAGATTGTGGTAGCGATGGTCTTGCAGCTTCTAGTGTTACACATATTTCCTAGTGTCTATGATGTCTTTGGAGGGGTAATCATTATGATTAGTGTTTTTGTTCTTGCTGGCTATAAACTGTACTGGAGGAGTTTAAGAAGGCAGGATTACCAGGAAATTACAGACTCTCCCATTAAATGAATACCTGATTATTATCTTAACCATTGGTCATTAATAGGTACACTGCCATTTTAATATTCACCTACATCTTTTGTTATATAATTGGCAGAGTGCTAGATAATATTTTACGTAGATGTAGAAAAATATATTCTAGTCTAATATATTCAAAAACTAATATTAAATATGTGAAATGTCATGAATGTAATATCTTTACTGTTGTTAACAAAAGGTAATTGTGGTAGGAGAATGTTAGCTTTCATCACTAAAGAATATAAACTTGAAGAAAGGACCCCTTTCAGATGGAAATTCTGTGATACTGAAGTTCAAAGATTAGAAAAATGTTCATGCCCAATGTTTTATAAATGTTCAACAAAAATCAATCAATATTCAAAAATCTTCATTTGTGAAAAAGGAGAGGGTAAAACACTGAACACTGGGCCCTGCTTTATTATCAATTTGCATTAGAAAACTAGAGGTGATTGGGCTGGTAAGGAAGCTTGAGCTAAAGCAAGAAGAGGAAACAAAAGAAAGGAGCTAGTTTTTCAGTGATAAGGATGCTTATCCTACCTTAGAAGAGTAAATTGGTCTTACTCTTGCTATGGCCACACTAGGCAATGCATTGGATATGGAAGTATGTACTTAGTGTATGGCATTTTTTGCCTGATGATGGGAAGTCTAGTGTTGGGGCAGGTTCTGCTTATCCTCAGCTATAGGATCTCTTCCACAATTGCCCTTGTTTAGATTTTGTAGCCAGTACATGTATGAGTTTTAGTAAAGGTACTCCTTAGCCCTGAAAGAGACAGTAACAGTAATCACAGTATAGAAAGAAAACTGGCAACATAGTGTTCTCAGATTTTTTTTAAAAAGGTCTAAAAGTCTCCAAATTCACCTTTCTATACTTTCCTCTCTGGTGCTATGGCTCAGACCCTGCAAACTACATTTTTCCTATGCTAGCTGATGTTTCACTAGGTTCCACCAATAAAGGCCATTACATGGAGACTGGAAGTAGGAGAAGGGACAAAAAGACTTCCTCTTTTCCGTTTGTTTGCAGTGTCTGTCATTGTTACCTGAGCAATAAGCAATGGTCCCTTGCTCTGGCAGGTACAACTGATTTCAGCCTTGAGCTTCTTTTGGCACACCTCCACCCCCAACCAGCCTCATCATATCCCTCTCAGAGGTAGCAGGACCAGATGGACAGCATCCCCTCAGGGACTGGAACTTCAGTTTATCTGGGTCATCCCTCTGAGCTTCTGAGACCTGATAGTCCAACCTCAATTCCTCTTTATCACTTGCTTTAGGGGAGATAGCTGCTCTCTACAGTTATCACCTCTGGGCTACTTCAGTGTTCCCTTTTTGCTTTTTCAGTCCATCTGTTGCTGGCAATGTTGGCTCTTGGTTCTTGAGTTCAGCGAAGAACGAATTCAGAGCCAAGAACTTGAGGACAACAGGAAGTTTATTTAGCATGCAAAACGAAAGCATACTTGAAGAGAAGATTTGAGTGTGCTGTTCAGAGAGCTGGCTTGGCCTTTTAGAAGGAAAGTCACAGAGGCAGAAGTGAGCTAGGTATGCTATGTGGACTTGGGAAACAAGTTACAGAAGCAAAACAAGGGCCTTTGGAGACAGGTAAGGGGGTGGGGATCCTGGGACAAGCTGTTGCTGTCTGCTGCTCCCTTGGTTACAAGTGTCATGGGGACCCTTAGAGCTTAGGAGAAAGTACAGATACACACCTGAAGAAAGAAGGTGAGGTTGCGCTCTAGTCAGTGAGAACACACTGGGTACTTTTTAAAAAAGGTTTTTATCTAAAGGCAGGAATTTTAGGGGGGTCTTGGGAGGATCTCAATAGAATATTCATCAGCTTTTCAGGTGTGTCCTGTAGTATGCTGATGCATCCAAGTGAGCATATAGGCCATTCTCTTGTCAGTTTCACCTTTGAAGAATGTCACCTGGAAGGGACCAGGACTGAGGTGGGTCTGACCCAGCATGATCTGGAATGTGTAAGATAAGACCTTGCAATTTATTATCTGGCTGTAAGTTGCTTGCCTGGTTTGTTCAACTATCTGTCTCAGTCTCAGTTTCCCCATTCCACATGCCAAATAATTGTCCTAGCTTCTTACTATCCTGCCTCACATCAATATCCAATACTAAATTCTCTGTTGTAATAGCTTGTGATTTCTATTTTCTTCACTAATGTGTCTCTCAACCTTCCCCCAAAGAACCCATAGCCATTAGTTAGGTGTCTGTCCTTTTAGTAAAATGTTAACGTTCAAACTTTCTGGCAATTACTAGACACTGGATTTCAAAGGAATTATCCAAATTTGAAGCACAGACAGACTTGAAAAAAAATTAATAAAGCCTGGAATGACATGTATAAGGACTAAGAAGTCTAGTGTAAGTGTAAGTCTCAGAAGAGAATAGAAAAAGAAGGCAGAAGAAAATATTTGAGGCAATGTTGGCCAAAAGTTTTCCAAATTGGACAAAAAGGAAACAACTACAACCAGCAATCCACAAAAACAGGGATAAGTGAGTCCAAGCAGGATAAATACCAAGAAAACCATAACTAGTAACATAGTGTAACTGCTGATAAACAAAGGTAAAAAAACAAAATCTCAAAAGTCAGGAAAAAAGACATATGACATTCTGGAAAACAATGATAAGAATTACAGGTGGCTTCTCATCAGAAACAATGGAGGCCAGAAAACCATAGAATGGCATTTTTAAGTGCCAAAAGAAAACCCTTTGATGGCCTCTCGTGGCCTATACAATAAAGTTTAAGGTCCTTAACTTCAGTAACCCAATATTGCTTACATTTCCAGTCATCTGCTCCAGCAGTATTCTACTCTTGTGTAATACCTTTTTTATGCAGACCTCTCTATGTAGAAATCCCTTTTTGCTTACTTAATTGCGTCACTAGCCTGACCACACAGCTTCCCTCCTCTTGTGGCTTAATGACACCCTGTACATATTATTGCTGTACTTACTATATTAATAATAAGTATCTGTGTAAATTTCATTTTCTGATACTGGATTGAACTCCTTTAAGTTAAAGACTGATCTTTTTAGATCTCTAGTACGTATTGTAGTGCCTACCCTAGAGCGGACCCTTAATAAATTTTCGTTGATTTAAATACTCAATCCAGAAATTAAATTTAGTTTCCAGGGTCCACTAATTTCTATACCTAACATTTGAGACTGTGATTAGTTCCTTTTTGCCAATTAGTAGGTTGGGCTCTTTTTGGTCCTAAGCAGTCCTGCTATACAATGATACTACACCAGATCATTGTCTCTAATCAGTTCTAACTATACACTAAGAACAGTTTTCTGGGAAAGGCCTTGAGACATGGAAGCTCTTTTTTTCCTTCCCTGTTTTCCTAAATCCTTTCCTTTGGGATTAATGAAATGAGCTGCCTGCAAGCTTTTATCCTAGACAGATTAGCTACTCTCTCTGAAGCCCCATTTCCAGTCCATACGTCTTAAATTCTGAACTAAATTTTCCTGTTGCTTGATTTTGGCTAGCCCTGCTCCATTTAGCACTAATTGTGAAGGGTGATTACTGTTTTTGGTTTGAGTTCCACTAAAAGGAAAAAGAAACAACATACATGCTTATGTTTGGAAGTTGGGAGACAACAGCAGGTGTTAAAGGAAGTTTCTGGAATAACTACCACCCCATAAGAATGTGGACTCCATTCCTTCTAACTATATCATACGGCAATTCCTCAAAAAAATTTTAAAAGATTTTATTTACTTATTTGTAGACAGAGGGGAAGGGAGAAAAAGAGGGAGAGGAATATTGATGTGAGAGAGAGAGAAATTGGTTGCCTCCCATTTACGCTCCAACCAGGGACTGAATCCACTACCCATACATGTGCCCTGGCCAGGAATCAAACCTGCAACCTTCTGCTTTGCAGATTGATGCCTAACTAAATGAGCTATACCAGTCAGGGCTCATACTGCAATTGACACATGACTTTTTGCCTATCTATCCTTCCATTCAATGCTTTCCTATTTCATTGCTATTTCCTTATTTTTAACTTCTTTTCTTTCCCACATATTTTGAGTTTTTCTTTTTTATAAGAGTTCCTTGTGAGAATGGGTAATGAGGAAACTAAAGGGGAAAAAAAAGACTAAAAGAAAAAGAAACATATTTACAGAGAAACACAATACTTACAAATTCCTTTATTTACAGAAAAACACAATACTTACAAATTCCTTAATTCTATTGCTTAAATTGGTGGCACAAAGTAGTCAAGAAGTCTGCATCAAAATCTTGTAAAGGTCAGTTCAGATCATTGGCCTATTCAAAATACATATTCCTTTACAAAATAAACCTAAACTTTTGGTTTAAGCACATTTTTTCTGGGTTTATTTTCCCCATTTAAGGTAGGTGGTATAAGCTACCTGAGGGCAAGAACCACTTTACCTATTCTATTTGTATTCACACTTCCTCCCCCCATTACACGTTAAATGTGTAACCAGAATTGAATTGAACTAGGTTTTCCTAACAGTTTGCTCTGATTTTGGAAAAATAATTTTAACCTCTGGACGATGGTTTCTCCAGTTTCAAAAATAAATATAATATCTCAGTCCATAAACTTTGTAAGTTTTATCAAAACAAATAAAACTGCTCTATTAGCTCAAGATGCCATAACAAAATACCGCAGACTGGGTGGCTCGAACTATACAAATTTAATTTCTCAGTTCTGCAGCCTTAGTTCCACATCATGGTGCCAGTGCCAACATGGTCAGTTTCTGGTGAGAACTCTTTCTAGATCTACATGGCTGTCTTCTCATTGTGTCCTTTCATGTTGAAAACAGAGAAAAAGCTCACTGGTGTATCTTCTTAGAAAGACACTAATCCTATAGTATTAGGACCCCACTCTTATCACGTCAGTCAACTTAATTACCTCCTAAAGGCCCTATCTCTAAATAGTCAGATTCGGAGTTAGGGCTTCTTCACATACAAATTTTGGGAGGGCACACACAATTCAGTCCACAGCAGCCATGATAAAATAAGCAAAGGTATCTAGACCCTTAAATTCAAAATTCAATTACATTATTCACAGTGGATGTCAATGACAGTAAACACAGAGCAACTCTTGCTCAGTTTCATGCTCTACCGGCATTAAGTCCACTTGAAGCCAGGAACTGGCCACAAGTTGAGCTTGACCTGAACTTGACCACGTGATACTAAATACGGCAAGCATATCCTGTATATTTATCAACATTAAAACGAATAACTTTTAACTAAATGCAGCAAAGTGTGAACTCTTGGGCCTTTGACTCAGGGCCAGCATTAAAGATGGGAAAAGGAGATGCATTAAGGCCTTCAACAGTATTTGCTGACGATCTATCATGTGCTAGACACTGGGGAAAATTGAAAACTGATATGGCTCCTGACTTACATGAGTTTACAATCTATATGGGGACATGGGCAAACTATTTCAACAGCTTGGATAGGGAAAATACCAGCGTTCCACGAAGGGTACCTAACCCAAGCAGTCTTCCCTGAGGAGGCAAGCCTAACCTGAGCCACCAAGCTGGTTAGGAAGGAATGAGACATATTGTGGGGCACTGCAGCCTCGCGTTGGGGTTACCAACCTACTGATGGTTTATTAGCAAGTGGCTGGGGTTGGGCCCTTAAGAGTGGGAAGACGTGTCACCGAAGGTCAGTCCTGACTGCCGCAAACGAGAATGGAGACTACCTCACACACCAGACCCTCAGACTCAGCTTACTTCGGTTCGTGGCTCAAATTAAGCATGCGGTTTAAAAGTTTCTCTCAGGTCCCCATTTGTGGGCCTTGGTTTGTTTTTCCTTTTAGCTTCCCACTCCCAAGAACCTTCATCTGCCAAGACTCTCTTCAGCCGCAGAAACCTGTAGGAAGATCCCTGAGAAGTTGGGGCTGACCTCGGGACGCAGTCACGTTTTTTGCTGTTGAGTCTCTGACGAGGGGCTGAGGAGGAAAGTCGAAAGCAGAAAGCCAGGCTGGAAAAGGAGACACGACACTAGGTTAGGGTCCGGCGCCTCTAGCTCCCTCCGCTGAGCAGAAGGCTCACTCCACGCCCAGCACAGTGCTTGATTGACAGGCGAGCCCGCCCAATCCCAAGGCGGCGCAGACGGCTCTCGAGTCGGAGATGGAAGGAAAAGGGAGATCGAGCCTATCAGATTGGGTCAGGACAGGGTTTCCTGCCCGCGCAGATCCGTCTGTGGCCTCGCGGCCAGTCGGCGTTGCAGCTCCGCCCGTTCGCCGCACGCGCCCCGCCCCTCTCCCGAGAGCTACGCGGCGGTCGAGCGGAGGCCTCGTGCCGTTACGGCCATCGCGGCGGCCGCGGCGGTGTCCTGGTTCCCTTCCTCAGGTGAGCTGGGGCCACCGAGGTTCGGCGGAGGAAAGGAGATACGGCCTTGCCGGCAGGCAGATCCACAAAGAGCCTTTCCTTGCCCCTTGCGTCCAAACACCCTGCTATTCGCTATGTCGCTTCCTCTTCCCTGGCGAAGTTAAGCCCCGGGGGCGCCGTCTGCCGGCCGGGAGCAGAGCCGGAGGGGGCGGGGAAGTAGCTCGGCCCAGCTTGGGCGTTTGAACTGCCGCTTGGCGCGACCCTCAGGTTCCAGCCTCGGGGTTGGGGGTGGGGCGCGGCCCCGCAGCTTTCCTGGCCACCTTCGGAGTGCCAGGTCGGGGTGAGCACCTGGGGCGGCCACTCCTGCGAGGCTGGGGGCGGGGGGGGGGCGGTCAGTGTGCATCGTGCGCTTTTCTGTTTCTTTTCCTTCCAAAAAAGTCTCGTTTTCTGTTGTGGCCTAATGCGAGGCTGGGAAGGTGGGAGCGTGCTAGGGGAGGGAAGGAGAGAACCTTGTTGCGGAGGGTGAACATCCTTGAGATGTTCCCTCTGCGCCTCACCGCCTCCCCCCCCCAAAGTCGGTTCCCTTGTTCTTCGGAAATCTGGGTTATTTTCATCGTATGGACCTGCTGTAGATCCGTACGTGAGTTGGTTGGGTTGTGAGCTTTTGTAATATATCCGGTAAAAACGATTTCGAAAGGTTGGTTTTGTAACCTTAAGTGTTTCCATAAAAGTTAAATTTGCCGTTATAGAAGCTCAGGAAGCAGGATTTCGTTCAGGGCTGAGAACCATAACACAATACACGCACAATTAAATGTCCAGCTGATGAGTTGTTCACCTGAAAATAATTTTACCTGTTAGATTCTGTACGGAGCCTTACAAAGTAGGAAAGAATGAAGTTACGGAGAATTTTCTAACCCCATCTGGGGTGGTGATCAAAGGACCTCAGTGTCGGGTCAAAACGGGTAAGTAGTGCAAGAGATACTAATTTTTTAAAAATCTTACATGAATACCTAACCATACAATTTATTAA